ACTTCAACCAGTTAAAGAGAGTTGAAATCTGAAACATCTACCCCATATTCTAGGTATAACTGACTTATATGATCTTTGGTAAAATCATAGCTCAGAATAATTGAGCCCCAACATTTCCTGTTGAAGCACCCGGCTGTCTTTGGACTCCAACGGCACTGCTTAACTTCTGAGACAGGGGTTTAAAGATAAATGGTCTTGAATCCAATGACCAAATCAGGAGAGTGATCAGAGCAAAGGAAGGAATCAGAAGAAAGGCTCTGGGATGGCTCTCCTTAAAAGATGGGGGACATGCATGTCCTCAGAACACTGAGGCTCTCTCCTCCTCTCCAGAAAGAATTCTGAATGGCATGGTGAGCTGAGATTATGGCAGCAGGGGACCCCACTGCTCTGTCCTCCAGATGCTAGTAGATGTATACCAGGGAGCTGGACTCAAACTCACCTGTACAAGTTCCTTAGACCTTCCTAAGGGAGTAAGTTGGATTTATTCAGGAGCATTTTTTTTTTTTTTTGAGACAGAGCCTCAAGCTGTCGCCCTGGGGAGAGTGCTGTGCCATTACAGCTCACAGCAACCTCCAACTCTGGGCTCAAGTAATTTTCCTGCCTCTGCCTCCTAAGTAGCTGGGACTACAGGTGCCTGCCACAATGCCGGGCTATTTTTTGGTTGCAGCCATCGTTGTTTGGCAGGCCCAGGCTGGATTCGAACCTGCCAGCTCCAGTGTACATGGCTAGCACCTTAGGTGTATGTGGCTGGTGCCTTAGCAGCTTGAGCCACAGGCACCGAGCCTATTCAGGAGCATTTGACTTTAGTATTTAGCTTAGTATTAAAAGCAGGCAGGTGGGCGGCGCCTGTGGCTCAGTGAGTAGCACGCTGGCCCCATATACTGAGGGTGGTGGGTTCAAACCCAGCCCCGGCCAAACTGCAACAAAAAAATAGCCGGGCGTTGTGGTGGGGGCCTGTAGTCCCAGCTACTTGGGAGGCTGAGGCAAGAGAATCGCCTAAGCCCAAGAGCTGGAGGTTACTGTGAGCTGCGGCGTCACGGCACTCTACCAAGGGTGACAAAGTGAGACTCTGTCTCTAAAAAAATAAAAGCAGGCAGGTGACCTGCATGTACCTACCCTTGGTAGTGCTACAAGGGGCTTGGGATCTTCCACTCAAAAGGGAAAGCCTCTCTTGTCCCTCTTGTTCATTTAATCCTGACAGAAATGTCATGAGAGAGTCCAAGGAAAAGAGTGGATTAATACTGTGAAATTATCCATGTAGAATTACAAAGTGGAATGCCATCAAAACTGGCCATAGTACAGAAATGTTAGCTCCATTTAGAGAGGTGCCAGGGTCTGCCTCATTCTTTGCTGTGTTTCCAGCATCCCATACCATTCCCAATGCTTGGTAAGGACTCAGAACGTATGTCTGAGTGAAAGAATGAATATCCCCCACCCCCACAATTTCCAGATCAAATTAAGTATCAATGATGGAAACCTTCTGGCTCGGCACCCATAGCTCAGTGAGTAGGGTGCTGGCCACATACACTGAAGCCGGCAGGTTCAAGCCCGACCCGGGCCTGCTAAACAACAATGACAACTACAATAATAACAAAAAAAAAAACAGCTGGGCATTGTGGCGGGCGCCTGTAGTCCCACCTACTTGGAAGGCTGAGGCAAGAGAATCACTTTAGTCCAAAAGTATAAGGTTGCTGTGAGCTATGAGACCACAGCACTCTACTGAGGGTGACATAGTGAGACTCTGTGTCAAAAAAAAAAAAAAAAATGACCGGAACTTTCAAGCCATCCTTTCTGTGGATTTTCTCCAGAACTGTTTGAATCACTTTGTGGACTATGTGAAGCACCACCAACTAGACTTAACTTTGAACAAGTTGCTTTCTTGGGACCTCAGTTTCCATATGCCAAGGAAGTTGGGACAATTTCTTAGACTTCTTGTGTCTTTGGATGCTTTAAGTGCCCCCATATGTAGGTGACATGGTAGAGGTCAGGAGGAAATGGTGATGTTGTGCTAATCGTAACGATTACTAAGGGACCAGGGTCAGAAGGCCTATCTTACTGCTTCCACGAAGAAACCACTAAAAGAAATCTCGGGGTCATCTCTCAATGTGTGCCACCTTCCATATTTCTAAAATCTTCAACCCTGCCATTTTTCAGTTTTTTTGTACCCTGGTAATGAGCACTTAGTTTGTGCTACATCCTTTCCTTTAGCTCATTCAATCCCTGCAGCAGCTGTCTTACAGATGAGCCTCTAAGACACAGAAATGGGTATCTAGGAGCTTGCCAAGGTCATTTGGCTGGGACAGTGGACCCACTACTCTTTTTTTTTTTTTTTTTGAGACAGAGTCTCAAGCTGTCACCCTGGGTAGAGTGCTATGGAGTCTCTGCTCACAGCAACCTCAAACTCTTAGGTTCAAGTGATCCTCTTGCCTCAGCCTCCCAAGTAGCTGGGACTACAGGTGTCCACCACAACGCCCGGCTATTTTTTGGTTATACTTGTCATTGTTGTTTGGCAGGTCTGGGCTAGATTCGAACCCACCAGCTCCAGTGTACATGGCCAGCACCTTAGCCACTTGAGCTACAGGCACTGAGCCCCCACTACTCTCTTATGTCCCAGTTTTCTTCATCATTTTCCTTTACTATTTTTATTTTAGTCTTTTTTTCCTAGATCTGACACTGGCTTCAAAATGAAGGGATTCACTGGCTCCTAATCTAGACAGTTCACAGAATTTATCTTCAAACTGTCCATCAGGCCCTGTTGAGTTACTGAAGGTCTTGGTGTTAATCTGTTCAGTGATTACTTTGTAGGGTAGAAAATTCCCCTGTGGAGTGTTCCCATAAGAGTCCAGATGACCATGTCTTGCGGTTTTTGTGCATTACCTAGAAGATAGCCACAGTGCCCACAGGATTCCTCCCAGAGAGAGGATCCTGCCGAGTACATGAGCATTTTACAACTTCTGAAATAGATGGGGGGAGCTTGACCTTTCTCCTCTTCCCCATGCCTTGCTCAGAACACATGGCCAGGTGTGGCTCCTGCTGCTTAAAAGACTTGGGTGTATGGTAGAATTTGCAAATGCCAAGGTTAGTGAGAGGGTTATGGGACCTTTTAGTCCACACCCTTGACTTGGCATCTAAGGTCTGAAGAACACTAAAAAATTTAATGAGGTTGCCCACTGTTGCCAACAGAGCCCACAGTCTCCAGGGACTCTATTCTAATTTTTTTTTTTTTTAAAACAGAGCTTCAAGCTGTCACCCTGGGTAGAGTGCAGTGGCATCACAACTCACAGCAACCTCCAACTCCTGGGCTCATGCGATTCTCCTGCCTCTGCCTCCCAAGTAGCTGGGACTGCAGGCGCCTGCTACAACGCCTGGCTGTTTTTTGGTTGTAGCCATCATTGTCGTTTGGTGGGTCCAGGCTAGATTCGAACCTACCAGCTCAGGTGTATGTGGCTGGCGCCTTAGCCGCTTGAGCCACAAGCACTGAGCCCTAAAATTCTTTTATCTACCAAACTGAGAGAATGGAATGTGTTAAATAACTAACTACATACTCATTCTATCTGTGTAACTTTCTGTTTCATTGTTGATCCAGAGTTTAACCAGCGAGCTTAGAACAGTGTCTAGCTCAGGGTAGGCATTCAGTAAACGTTTATCAAACAAAATTCCTGACTCCAGAATCATTGAGGTGCATGAATGTGCATGAATCGCTAATTATTATCTTGGCTATGACATTAATAACCTACTAAGTAAGTGTGCAAACTGTCCATTGCTCCTCCATTGGATGACGTGGCCAGCCTCTGCCAGGCCAAGGACTGTTCTTTCCAGTTCATGTGCCCTACTCTAGCCCTCTGTGCACAATCTTTAGAAGTTCCACAGGTGTCCTCAGATCAGCATAAATAATCCAGATACATCTAGTAATGTCACTGATACTTTTCCAGCCCAAAGCAGAGCAATCAGCCAGATGGTTAGGCTCAATGCCTTGTCTGGGGAAATGAGCATGTTTCCGTTAGAACTTACTGTATTGCCAAGGCTTGCTCATCCTCCCCATTGGGGACCACTGCCTCTCCTCACACTTCCCCATTTTGGCTGCTTTTAATCTGTCTCATAGGGGACCCCAGGGAACAGAGCCCCTTCCTGCACTCAGCCTTGTCACTCACTTGGGCTATTTCAATGCAGTCGGTGCATCCGGTGTTTGCTGTGGTGTCCTGCTCTGCTCCTTATGGAGCTTCAACCCTCTCGGGGCCACTCCTTTGACCTGCGGCCCTCTGCAGCCGTGCCTGGCTTCTGCTCTAAGTAGGAGACTGCCATCTGCAGCCCTGCAGCCAACCAGGAAGAAAATGCACCCTCTTGGGATTTTTCTGTCCATCGAGCTTTTGGTCTTACAACAAAATGGACCAAACGGCTGCCTGCATTGAAAGCACCTCTGCTTCCTCTCCATAACTGGGCTAAGATGGAATTCCATTTATTATTTCAGGCCCACCAAGTATTGAGTTTGGGAAGAAAAAACAGCAAGGTCTTAGAGGGGCTCCATAAACTGCTATACCCACCCTACTTTTCCTGATATCCAACTTCCCACCTATCCAGAAGCCACAGGCTGGTTTCAGGACCATGAAGGGTCCAGCTCAGCTCAGCGCATCAGCAAGACTTCCCTGGGCCCTGCACAGGGGGCTGCTGTGCTCAAGAGTTTATGGACTTGGTAGTCAAGATTTCTCATACCAGACCCACCTGTACCACCTGCCTCCCCCAAGCTACTTAGTAGACAGCAGGATCTCTGCACTCCTTACTCCCTACCCCAAAATTCTTGTGGAATACCATCCAGTTGATGAAGGAAGAAGATTCTTGGGGACATAGGAGTGAGGGGATATAAGCCCAAAACCCCACTGGCTGGCAGCAGGTTTCTGGCTTACATCACTGCTGGTCAGCAGTAGGCAGCCTCACCTATGTACCCAGGGGCCTTAGTGCTGCATGAAGCTATACACTCAACCTTCTCATTGCTTTTATTTTAGGAGGATGATGAGAAACTCATTGAGGAAATCCAGAAGGAGGCTGAAGAGGAACAGAAAAGAAAGAATGGAGGCAAGAGATCCCTGTGCAACAGAGTGACAGTCCTCCCTGCGGCCCAGAGCCACATGGAGGCTCTCGCTGCTGGCCCTTGCCACAGCCCAGGGGGGGGGGGGTACTGCCCCTCAGGTGTCCACTCACAGCCTACTGCTATCAAAGTCTTGGATATGATTTGGTATCTCCTTGATGAGGAAGTCCTAAGGGGCAGGTTTGCACTCAGGAAACAAACAGAAGCTGAACTTGACCAAGGAGGCAGTAGGCCCACACTGGCCCTTTCAAGGTTAACAAAGGAGTGGGGTGGAGGTGCTAAGGTGGCCCTGTGTGGGTGAGTGAGGACAGGCTGCTTTTCCAGGCCACCACTGTAGACATGACAGTCTTGGGGAAGTACAGTTTTGTCCTTGGTTTCTTATAGTGGAGTTGGGGGTGGGCATAGGTTTCATGATAGGTTTAATCACCCTTGGGGCGCCACCCCTCCTGTATTCAGAGGTGAGTGTGCTGCAGGTCCTAAGTCACCCCCACCCATCCCAACTCCCCTTGATTCCCTCCAGCTCTGTAAGACAAGACCAGGGTGGGTGTGTGCCTCATCCCAGCCTAGTTCCAGTGAAGTTGGTCTAACCCATTTTTTTCAACAGCATCCCATCTCCCTTTCAGAGAACACCTTCAAACGCATCGGTCCCCCACTGGAGAAGCCTCCCGAGAAGGTGCAAAGAGTAGAAGTCCTCCCAAGGCCTGTCCCACAGAACCTACACCAGCCACAGATGCCTCCCTACGCCTTCGTGCACCCACCTTTCCCCCTGCCACCCGTCAGACCCATGTTCAACAATTTCCCCCTCAACATAGGTCCCATCCCAGCACCCTATGTGCCCCCTCTGCCCAACGTACGGGTCAACTACGACTTTGGCCCTGTCCACATGCCCCTGGAGCACAACCTGCCTATGCACTTTGGCCCCCAGCCACGGCATCGCTTTTGATGGCCCAGAGCCCTGCCTGATCCCCACCCCCCAGAGTCCCAACCAGGCGGTCATGGAGCCCGTGTGGGCAGGTTGTAGGATATAGGACTTGCCCCACACCCCCTGGGCCGATAGCATCACTAATGCCTTCCAAGGAGAGGTAGAGGGTTTGGCTTTCCGGAGGATAGGTTGGTGTACTCCCAGCCTCCCAGAAAGGGCCACTGCTCCTTAAAGGGTGGCCATAAGCTGGTGGCTGTCCAGGTGCTTGTACTGGGATCGATCTCAGTCTCACTCAGCCAGAGATAAAAGGGCAGCAAAACCCTCTTCCTGAAGAGGTCTGCCATCTCAGCAACCAATGCAGTGGCCCTATCTCTGCCGTGTCACTCAAATCCCTGCAGAAAAAGACAAAGAGAAAATGATTTGCCTCCATTTCTGCTCCCCAAGCAAATAACAGAAGAATCCTCAGAATTAAAAACCACACAGGCCTCCTTTCCCACTGCACCAACAGATCCATAATAAAGATGCAGTAGCAAATAGTGGAGTTTGGAGAGAACTGAGAGATCGGCACCGCCACCCATGCCTGGGGCCCATCAAGAGTAAACCCTTGTGCTCTGTGTTACGGCATAGTCATAGGTCAGAGAGCTGTAAGCACTGCTTTTGAGGCCCAGACGCTCATGCTAGGAGGCATCAAAGGGGAACTTAGGGTTAGTCCGGAGAAGAGGTAGCAGAGCCATCCATGAGTCTGGCAAGTCCCATGGGCCAAGCTGTGCACTGTGGCCCCTTGGGACATTGCACAGTGTCAAGAGGGCAAGACACTATCCCTTACATCCATGCCCAGGTACCACAGTGGTGACCATTCAGGAGGCCTCTCTTCTCTTTTAAGGCCTGTTTAGATCAAAAAGCAGTAGAGAACCATCTTGTGGTGTGTTGTGTTCTGTCATTTATCTAAAATGTTTGTTCCTGTTTACTCTGAATTTATCCAGTTTTCCGTGGCCTACTTGAATTTCTAGAAAGTCAAACTGAGAAATCAGTTACCCAGGCCAGGCAGCTGCTAAAGGCTGGATAGTTCTGAAACTTTGGCCAAACAAAAGATCTTGGGGTAGCTGGGAGAGGCCCAACCATCGTAATAGGTAGTCCCATTGCTAGAGGAGACGAGACGTTCCTGCACTGACCAGGTGATGACAGTTTCACCCCCAAGGTTTTTGGGGGAAGGAGTGGGTTTCCCTGGAGGGTAGATAACCCCAGATGCCACCTGGCTGGGTGTCCACCCAAGGCACTACTAGCCTGCTAGCTGTGCTGCACCCTGTGGTGGCAAAGCCCAGCTCCTTGCTTCTTCCTGTGTATTTTTTCAGTGGTTGGTGGAAGAGGTAGGTAGAGGGTGATAGCCTGGCCGCTGGGGGATGAGGGCAGCTGTCCTATGCCCCCAGGTCAGATGAGAGCTCAGCCAGCCTGCCTACCACATTCCCAGCCACCTTCCTTCATGTCTGGTCCAGGTCTCTGGCTGTACCTGCAGCGTGACACCAGCCTCTTTGCCCTGCAGAGGCCTGAAGCTGCTAACTGCCCAGCTAGAGTGAGCTGCAGATGTCACTTTGTCCTCCAATGTTGGAGGACACTTCCTTGTCCTGTTGCCATGGGGTTCTGGGAGGGTGGGAGTACACAGACCTCAAAGACATGGCTGTGCCCAGTGCCTTTGGGCTATGCTGTGTGGGCCCTCAGCAGGCTCTGCCATCCAGGGTGTCATGAAGTGGGCACTATCATACCACTGGTGGCTCCTCAGAGGTATTTCAAGGATTGAAGTGGAAAAAATGTTTTAGATGCCCGTTCTTTCTGCCTTTCCTCAGGATGCAGGCTTTGAAGACAAGTGGTCACCCAGGCATGGGCTGGGGATTGCAGCCACTGCCCTAGAGCCCCTCCTGTTAGGCTGCCTGAACTTTGCTATTAGCCTGAATGACAGTGCCTTGGAAAGGCGGGCTCCATGGGGCAGTGACAGGACTCTAATGTAATTTAAATGCCAGTTCCCTGGGCTTTCCTAGGGAGCGACTCTGGGAACAGAGAGCTCTGGCACCAGGCGTTTCCCCTCAGGGCTGGTCCAGCTGCATCCTGCACCCCTGGGATGTGACTCCTTCAAGGGGCAGAAACCTGGCTGTTTCTGTGGCAGCTTCAAGAACAGCCCTGGGTGTGTGGCAGATCCCAGCCCTGGCAGGGTAGAGGGGAGACCTGAGTGATGTTGTCCCTAAGGCCCCAGTCTTAGTTCTAGCTGTTTCTGGCCTCACTTAGCCTTAGGGAGGGAACTGATGCCTTTCACCTTCAAGGGCATCTGATTCCTAACAATCCCTGAGCTGAGTGCAGGCAGCCCTCAGGAGCTGCACACAAGCATGGTAGCCGACTCCCAAAGTGGCCAGAATGACCTCGACTCTGCAGACACCAGTGTTCAGAGGCAGAAGCCTGGGCCTCGGGCCCCTCCTGCCTGTACTGGTGACAGGGCTGGAGAGAAAAGGGCCTGGTCGTCTCTGACCAGCTAGCAAGTGGCCCAGAGATCAAGTGGCTGGTTCAAGAGGCCCTGGGGCAGTTGGCACCTTCATTCTGCGCCACAGGCCTCACTCCCCCATGAGATGAGATTGTCCAGTGATAGTCCCATTTTACTTGCCTTAAAACTGGAGAAAGGAATCTAGTCTTGCACTTAGCAAAAGATTTAAAAGCTGAAAAAAAATGTGCATGATCTGTCGCTTTGTATAAAAATAGCAAAAAATAAGCAATTCATTACACTTTTTCTTTACCTTCTGGTAGTAAAAATAGATTAAATCTGTTTAAACTACTGTGTGTAAAAAGCTTGTATAATATGTAACTCGGACTTTTGTAAATAAATGTTTGTGCACTCTGCTCCCTCTGACTTCATTTCTCCTCATGTCCGCAAGTTGCAGGGGCTGCCGCAGCCGCAGCCATCACAGCCTGGGCTGGCAGATGCCTTGGGAGTGATTCAATCTCAGTTGGCACCCACTCAGCTCTGGAGAGGAAGTTCTTGCTGGGTGCAAGAGAAGAGGTGCGATTTCCCTACCTCTCACTTGCCCAAAGGAAGAGCAAGTGACCTGTTAGGGGAATCATAATGATTGCTACCCAGGCGCAGATCAGGCACAAAAGGTATGAAAGGTCCCTATTCCGGGCCCCTCCCATAGGTGCGGCTGTCTTGGCTGGGCTTGAGGATCCTAGAGGTTGGGTGTAGTTTCCAAGAATAGGAAGTGCCTTAGCTGAGAAGCCTGACAAGGTACTATGGATTTGCCCTGCCTGGCTGGAAGGGCTGCAGTTGCTGGGCCCTACGCCTACATAGTCCCCTGCAGCCAACTGCCCCATCAACACCACCTGCCATGTGCCAGGCCTGGCAGGAGTGAGACCCTAGACCTAGAAGGGAGCTGAGGGCACAGGGAAGGTAGTAACCTCCAAATACAGTGGACACGGCCTCTTTAATGGGACTGTCCTCTCCTACCATTAACCTGTCACCCAGGCTAGAGTGCAGGGGTGCAACATAACTCTGCCAACTCGAACTCCTGTGTTCAAGTCATCCTCTTACCTCAGGCTCCTGAGTAGCTAGGACTACAGGTATCTGCCACAACACCTAGTTAAGGTTTTATAAAGATAGGTCTTAATATGTTGCTCAGGCTGATCTTGAACTCTTGGCCTCCCGAAGTGCTAGAATTACAGGCATGAGAACTTGCGCCCAGCCTAGCACCTCCTTATTGAACAATTTATCTTTTTATTCCCATGTCTGAGAAAAAGTATACTGAAATAAACTTTCAAGAGAAAAGTTACCCACATCCCTAGCTTCTAAACAGTTATTTTTGTTTGTTTGTTTTTGAGATAGAGTCTCACTCTGTTGCCCTCAGTAGAGTGGGATGGCATCACAGCTCACAGCAACCTCAAACTCTTGGGCTTAAGCGATTCTCTGCCTCAGCCTCCCAAGTAGCTGGGACTACAGGCACCCACCACAACTCTTGGCTATTTTTTGCTGCTGCTGTTGCAGTTGTCATTGTTTTAGCCGGCCCAGGCAGGGTTCAAACCCAATGTATGTGGCCTGCACCCTACCCACTAAGCTACGGGCACTGCCCACAGTTAATACGTGTTTTTAACATCTGTGCCACCCAGCCCTTGTTCCTGTTCATGTTTCATCTTCTACACATTTGCAGCAGTATCACAGACTCCTGTAGTTTCTTGT